GTGTCAAATCTGTGATGCAGCCGAGTATCATCCCCAACAATCTCCAAGTCTCGAATCCGGTAAGTACCACAGCCTCTTACCACCGAAGTCCAACTCTGATCTCTGTCCAACTAGTATAAGTCTCCAGTCTGAAGAAGAAGAAGAAGAAGAAGAAGAAGAAGAAGATGGAGTCTGAAGAGAAGAAGAAGAAGAAGAAGAAGAAGAAGGGAGCCGAGGAGGAGAGAGAGAGAGAGGGGACTGGCGAGGGGAGGGAGGAGAGAACCTCCGACTCCCGATACCTCAGGCGGCTATGGCCGCCGATCCTGCTCAGTCGCCACTGCTGCTGCTCTGCTCGCTGCCGCTGCTGCGCTACCGCTGCCGCTGCCGCTCCTCGTGCTCCTGCGCTAAGTATAGCTCCAGCGCTGTGCGCGCTGTACCATACTGCACCGTTAGAGTGCCGGTGGGTCGATAGCCTGAATGAGGCTGGACCGGTACTTTTGTACCGGTGGGGCAGAGGCCGGCCTCAATGCTGCGAGGCCTGGCCGTGCCCTGAACCGTCAAGATGGACGGTTCAGCCCCAACCGGCCGGCGGCAGCCTCAAGAGCGCCGCCAGGCCCAAACGGTAATGTCGTTTGGGCCTGCCCGTCGGGTCTGGTCCAAAGTGAGGCCTTTACGGCCTGTAGTACCCCCAAGGTCAGGCCTTTAGGCCCTACTGTGTCCCTCTAACCCTAAGTCGGGTCCGGTAGGACCCGTGTGGCGTCGAAGATGTAACATCTGTGTGCCTGTGTTGCATACTAGCGAATACTTCACCAAGTATGGGCAGAACCAAAGATCAACCAATACAGGATGAGCATGTATGCAGCAGTTTTGGGTCCGATACCAAAACTGTTGGCAGGCCGCCTGTCCGCCTGCCTGTCTGCCTGCCTGTCGGTCATTTCATTTGTTCGTCCATCCACACACTTGCTAGCCTGTCCGCATATCGACCTGCGCGCGCTTGCCTGGATGACCGGCTGGCAGGCCGACTGATTTGCTGATGAGAGCAGAGTCTACACTCGGTCGTAACCAACAGGATGATAAAGGGTCCTATACAGCTCTTCGTTTTGACATCTGCCGTTTCGCTTATGTTGAATCATGCATATGATTTTGTTTAGTTTGGCTTTTACTTCAGTTTGGCAATAATGAGGCCTATAGCGTAAACCCTAAACCCTAAACCCCAAACCCCAAGCCCTAAACCCTAAACCCCAAACCCCAAACCCCAAACCCTAAACCCTAAACCCTAAACCCCAAACCTTAAACCCTAAACAACTAAAGCCCCTAAACCCTAAACCCTAAACCCTAAAGCTTAAACACTGAAGCCCCTAAACCCTAGACCCCAAACCCTAAACCCTAAACCCTAAACCCTAGACCATGAACCCTAAACCCTAAACACTAGACCCATAGATACTGTCAATCATGACCATCAGCATGGGGAGGGTGTGTCGCAGAGGATGTCACAACCTGTGATTGTGCAACCATCAGCAGTCTGCACGGACTCTTCCCTCTCCCTCTCCCTTCCCCCCCACCCCCATGCTAATCTTCTCTGTATCGTTTGAATTTCAACAGATTACTCTCCAGAGTCTTTTCTTCTTTGTTTGCTCCTGTTGACGAGCTGATGAGAGTCCGATGAGGCATATTTTTTTCCCATCGCCATTGCCGAGCTGCGTGAGGTTGTTGTTTGAAATTTTCTAATTGTCTTTGATCGGAAGATACGTTTTGTATGATAAGCTATAGGGCAGCTACTTGAAAAATCCTGAGGCAAGGTCATTGGTTTTTTAAGTTTTTTTTCATTTTTTATTTTTTGGACCGTGTCTCAATTTATGCGTGTCATTTTTGCACAGGGGCCATGCCAATCTCTTCTGTATGCTTCCAATTTTAGCTGATGTCCCGAAGGACCTACCTCTCCTTTGATTACTTCCTGAAGAGGAAGGATTTACCACTGCTCCACCCTTGTTCATCCCCTTGTGTTAAAACTGAGAGGCCTAGCTAGCCTTTTTTTTTTTTTTTTTTTTTTTTTTTTTTTTTTTTTTTTTTTTTTTTTTTTTTTTTTT